TAACAGGTTATTTGTAGTTCCATCTGACGTCACAGTTACCAAAGTTTTGAAAATTTTATTTGTTTGCTTGTTTTGTGAGCATGATTATTAGAAAATTAGTTAAAATAAAAAATATTTTTGGTTCAGCAGTTGAATTTTTCTGCTTGGGAAGTGCTTCCTAAAGGATTGTTTATAACTTTTTTTGTAATTATATAAATTACTTCTTATTTGGTTAAACAGAGGAGGGTGTTTATTCACAGGATTAGATCCACAAAATGTATCATTGTAACTTTTTTTTTTTTGTCTTGCAGCTGGAAGAAAAGTGTGACAAACAATATTCGGAAATTTATACAAGGGTAAAGTTTTTCATTTTTTTTACGATTAAAAATCAGCTTCCTTCAGTTATTAGTAATTTCTAAGTGATTTCCCAATGTTAGACTGCTGTAGGCTTTTACTGAAGTGTTTTGTACCCCAATAGTTTAAAATCTGTGATTGCAAAATGACACTCTAGATAGATCTTTGCAGTTCCTCTTTCAGTCCCTTAATTTCTTCCTATGGGAAAAGCTTTTTCTAATAAGAATGATTTTTTTTATAAAACTTGTCCTGCTTGGCAGGAAAGGTTTGTTTGTTTGTTTGTTTGCTTGAGAGGCAGAACTATAAAAACTGATTTCAGATGCTTCTGCGGGTATTACTGCCATTATGAAAAGTGATCACTGTTACTAGAATTGCATAGAATCTTTTGAGTATGCTTCAGCACTTTGTCTGCTAGTGAGAGAGATTTGAGTGAAAAATAGTAAATAAAGTTGAAATTGAGAATTGAGTTACTCTAGATTTTCTCTTTAATGCCACAGCACTTCAACATATTTTTGTAAATTTCACGTTACAAAACACATTGTATATCATAGTAAGTAAATGGATTGATCTACAAAGATGTAAACTGGATTTTGGAAATCAATCATCTTAAAATATATGGTATATGACTCCAGTTTAAGGTGAGAAAAAAAATTATGATTTTAAATCCAGAGCATTTGGTATTGTTTTGTTGACAACTAATTTGATTTTAAAAACTCATCTCAAGGTGGGAGGTAACGACCCCAGAAGATATCACCGGTACAGTTTCTGGTATTGTTAACTTTTTTTTCTGCTTTTAAGCCGGCATCTCGAAATTCAGCAAGTGCAACTCCCCTGAGCGGAAACTCATCCAGACGAGGGAGCGGGGATACCAGCAGTTTGGTTGATCCCGATGTCTCATTAACTGAATTGAGGGTAAATAGCATTATCTGAGAATTAGGAATAAAACTATGTGGGGGGAGGAAGGGAAATACGACCAATATGGCTAGCGGAAGAACCTTTATTTGCCACAGGAAAACAAAAAGCGACACCCCTCTCCTGTCACTTTTATGAAGGAAGGTTTATATGCTTTAATATTTCATATGATATTATTCATATGTAAAGTTGTGGAACTGATGAGCTTATTTTTAAGAAATTTTAAGTAGTTGGATAAATTTAAGGATTGGGGCTGACCTGTTTTAATACTACTGATTTTCGGATAGTGGTTGCATAACAATGTAGTAAAAAATTCATATGCTTGCAGGTCGTCTTCAGTTTCTGTGAGTTAAATGTATTTTGTTTTGCAATTTTTTGCATTTAACTGAAACCTATGCAAAGCTTATTTCCTTTTCGTTCACATATTTTTCAACTATAAACTATTTTCTCTTATTTTTATACAATGGTTCATTCCTATGTCCTGCAGGAGATCTATGATCTTAAGGACCAGATACACGATGTAGAGGGGAGATACATGCAGGGACTTAAGGAACTAAAGGTATCAGGGCTTATCCCAAGCATGCATTTCTGTATGAGTATATGTGGGTCATGGAGATTTTTACCAATTTCACTAACTGCTTTATTAACTAGAATTTTTTTTGTTTCTCCATGAAGCGTGTGGCTAATCTGCAGCGCATGGGGTTGTTCAGATTTATTTTGGACATGTAAAAATTACAGTTTCCCTGTATATCCTAAAATGTTTATTAATCCTGCATTCAAATAACATTAAGCATTTCCATTTTTTGTCAAGAATTCTCGGTGCAGTTTTTGCCTTACTGGAACAGCTTAGCATGTGTTTTTAATATTTACTGCACATTAAAATTGCGTGTAGCTTATGAGAAAAAGAAATGACATATAGTTCTGACACAATTTAACCAGAGAAAGTGTCAAGAATTTCAACAGAACTTCCAACCTAAAATGTTTTTCAGACTATTTTTTCTTTGTTTTTTGTATTCAGATTTGTTTCATACTTAGAAAAGAAAAACATACGCAAGAGACCCTTACAATTACATAGAATTCTGGTCTTGCTTAATTCACATTTTACATGGATTTTGTTTTTTGCTTATCTACGTTAGGAATGAGCTAGAAAATATGTAACATGTTCTGGTAGAGAGGAATTTTGGATTTGAGCTGTCCATTATTCTACTCTAGACCATCTCTCCTTCAGTGAATAACTAAGTACATGTAGATAAGAACTGATGGTCTGAAACTATGATGATGTGTGTTTATTTTTTTCCCGTTGATAAAAGTACATTAATGGGCTTTTCAGAACAGTTCAAACACTTCAGTAGACTATAGAATCCTTTATGCATTTTAATGACTTCCCCTATTGGGAGGCTGATCTGAAAGATATCGAAGAATTCATGTTACTATATATGCAAATCAGAAATCCTATAGTGACTATACTAACTACAGATTAAATTAAAAATACAGCATTATTAAGTTGACATTTGGCTGCTTGTTATCCTGTTTTTCAGAAGCCTTACAAGCACAAAGGACATAAGGGAAGTGGTTAGGAGTGAGTTAGGCATATAACAATTTGTACGTATGCCTTGTCTGCAGTCAGTGAGGTGGGGGAGGGAGAGATCAAAACTACTGTGATTTCCAAAACGTAAATGAAGTGTTTTCTAACAAAGAGTAAACTTGGTAAGAAAAAATTGCAGACTTTGAGACGTAGGTGTTTCTATACATAAGATGGTTACCAAAATGTGTGACTATTTTAACACACGTTTTGAGATATAAATATAGCTATGTAGTTATATATTAGAGGTTATTGAAGTTTGATATATCTATATAATGTGTGTGTGATATAGACCTATATAGATATATCAAACTGATATAGACCTATAGGTCTATATCACACACACATTATATAGATATATCAAACTCCAATATATAACTCCTATTTATATAAAAAATATATAAAGTTTGTTTTAAGGTAGTTGCATGTTTTGATAAGTCCCTATGTAGTTAAGAGACATGTCTGTTTACTTTTTTATATATAATGTTATAAGATAAAATATAAGTATTCAGAAGTTGTGATCATGTTCAGGTATTTTTTTAAAGCTTAGATTTCAACAGTTAAGATCGCTTACACTTTTTTTTCTTGCCATAATCTGTATTTGAATAGTTAAGTTAATAGTTTCAGTTTTCTTTAAGTTTGTCATTTAATGTAATTCCAGGGTATATTTGCAAAAACATAACATAAAAATTATGCAGCCGTTAGAGTCAAGAAAATATACATTTATGGGAGAAATAGGTTTTATGAGTACCAAAGTTATGAAGGTGGCATAATACTAGTGAAAAATGAATCTGTAACTTGTGCAAATTTTACAATAATTACTTTGCCTTGAATTAGTACCATCAGCTGAAGAGTAGAGATTTATTGTTTTTATTCTCTGTTTCTACCTACAATGCCTAATTTAGCAGATTAATAAAATGTTTTGTCTGAATGTTAGTGCAAAATGAATTTAGGTCCTTCAATATTATGATGGTATTTAACATTCATCTTACTTTTTGATACACTAATGCTGATATTTCCAATATTTGTGTAGGATTCTCTTGCTGAAGTTGAAGAGAAGTATAAGAAGGCCATGGTATCCAATGCACAGTTAGATAATGAGAAAAACAATTTGATTTATCAAGTGGATACACTAAAAGATATCATTGAAGAGAGAGAGGAGCAGATGGCAGAATTCTTCAGGGAGAACGAAGAGAAGTCAAAGGTACTGATATTTCATGAATTAAGCTATATTATAAGAGCATAAACTGCTTTTAAAGAAAAAAGAGCCTTTTTTAATTAGAAAAGACAGCCTTGTTACTAATAGAAGTTTTTGGATGCTGAAAATTTTTTTTTTTTTTTAGTGCAAAAAGGCCAGAGCAGACAGTCAAAACAGGGGTGGGCAGTTATTTGGGCCCTGAGGGCCACATAGGCTGTCTTAGTGAGCTGTCATGGGTTCGATCACCACTCTTCTCTTCCCCCATCCTCCCCATCCCTCCCCTCAGTGCAGCAACTCGCCAAAACTACCTGTGCAGGATGGGCCCCTGGGCAGCAGTGTTCAGGACAGGGCAGGTGGGAAGGCTGGGATCACAGGGCAGGGTCACAGGGCAGGGATAGTGCAGGGCTGGGGCCATGTAGGAGCCAAGATCTGGTGCCCACACACCCCTTTGATGGGCACGGGTTCTGCGGGCAGGGGCATGCAGGGAGCAGATCACAGCTCTGCCTCACCCCTGGCCCCATGCTGTCACGGCCCCATGCTGTCACAGCCCCATGATTCCACCCCTGACCCTGGTCCCAGACACAACTCCCCACCTGCCTGTGCACGCTGCCTGTGTGGCTTCTTGGAGCTGTGTCTGGGACTGGGATAGTGACAGCACAGGTCCATGGAAGAGCTGGAAGCTGCTGCCGAGCCTCACTGAGGGGGCTGCAACACCCACAATGGGAGAGGATGGTTGCAAGTCCTGCAGCCAAGGAGGGGAGGCAAGTGTAGGGGATGGCCATATGTCACTGCTGAGCCCACCAAGTGGGGGGAACTTAACCTCCTGCCTCGCCCCCCCACCCCTGCTTACCTATCTTCTTTCCTGGCCTGGGGTAGGCTGCCCACAGTGGGGAGGGAGAGGTGTGAATTGGCAGACACTCCTCACCCCACCATGTACTTGGACTTAGCTGCCAGGACTGGGCCAAGGGAGGTGGGAATACCCCTGTTCCCTGCCAGACCTCAGCTTGCTTTGGGTCGCCCACATGGCAGCCCCCAGCACTGCTGGCTTAGTATAGGGTAGAGCAGTGTGGGGGCAGCAGCGGGAGCCCTGGTAAGGGTGATTTGTCTGGAGGCAGGGGCCTGTCTTTATGGAGACCAGCCCCCAGCCCCTGACTTAGGTCCTCACCCAGCCATGCATGATCTCCCTGAAGACCAGGCCCTGGCTCTGGATGCAAACCCCTCACCAGGGCTCCTGCTGCTGCCACTGTACCTGCCCTGCTGCCACTCCATGCCACTATAGCCCGTGCTGAACTGGCAGGGCTGGGGGCTGCTGCCACTATGCAGGCATCCTGTGATGAGCTGTGGGCTAGCACGGGAATGCTTCAGCACTGCCCAGCAGAGCCAAAGGACCTGTCATGGGCTGGGCAAAATTGCTCTGCAGGCTGGATTCAGCCCACAGGCTGCATTTTGCCCACCCCTGAGTTAAAATTACAGGGCCTCCAATATCTTGCCCCATTGGGTAAAAATCAGTAATCTTCAGTCACTTAGATTTTTCCTGTCCAAAGGGTGTTAATCCAAAATTTTTCTGATGCTTGCTGTGTGATGTAATGCACAGAAGCCTGATCTGGGTTCAGTAATCTGATGAGAAGGGGAAAATTTGGCTTCTTACCACCTCGTTTTTCTTGGATCATGAGGTGGGGGCAAGACACCAGCCAGGTTTGTTTGTGTGTTTTTAATATTAATACCTAGCTTAGAAGGCTTTTAGTCTTCTGGCTAGTCTGGAAATTTTTTTAAGACCATGAAACTGAAGATTAACTATTAGTTTCTTTGATTTTTTTTTTTTTTTTTAATCTTGCAGGAATTCAGCATCAGTACTAACATTTGCTCATATTTGTAACCTCTTTTAACTTTATATAGAAAATGTATGTAAGAAACAGAAAACAAGGTTTGAGTTACTTACATATTTGTTTTCTGTAGGAACTGGAAAGGCACAAACACATGGGCAATGTTCTGCAGCATAAGTTGGATGAACTTAAAGAAGGTCTTCGCCAGAGAGATGAACTAATAGAGGTATGTACATATTCTGAGGAGACTTATGGAAAGATGTCAGGTTTTTTTAATTGGGCATAGAAAGAGTATAGAAGGCTTGGGTGGTATATATGTATATGCTGTCTCCACTTTTATAAAATAGATATAAGTACCATCTCTACGTTTCTTAGGAAAAAAAGTTGTCCTGACTTGGTAACAAGAATATAAGCTAGCCAGAAGTATTTTTAATTACTCTATATCAGTTTGCTGGATCTAGCTGAAAATTGGAAATGTTTGTCTGAAGTTTTTAAAAGTTTTGTTTTGTTTTGCTGTAATTTAAATCTTGTTTTGAATATTTAAGTCGTTGGGGCCACCAGTGTTCCTCTTTCTTCTGTGAGCAGAGATTTAGTACTTGTATGGAAAAGTGTGTTCATGTATTGGCATTTCTGAGGAACTGGAATCTCCACAAATATTAGTCAACCAGATTGCCCACATTCTACAAGCTACAAATTAACTTTTTTTCCTTTTCCTTTCCACTTTTAAAAAGACAGGTTTATACTGTTTGAATTAGGTTTGCATAATATTTGTGTATTCATTCGCATATGATACACCTGGGGAGGAAGAACCAGCAACATACCTACAGGCTGGGGAACTCACTTCTTGTCAGTGCAGAGGCAGAAAAGGATCTTGGAGTCATCATTGATGTCAAGTTGAACATGGGCCGGCAGTGTGGGGATGCAGTCAGGAAGGCCAACCGCACCTTGTCATGCATCCACAGATGCATCTCAAGCAGGTCCAGAGAGGTGATACTCCCCCTCTACGCGGCACTGGTCAGGCCGCAGTTGGAGTACTGCGTCCAGTTCTGGGCGCTGCACTTCAAGAGGGATCCGGACAACATCGAGAGGGTCCAGAGGAGGGCCACTTGCTTGATCGGGGGCAGCAGGGCAGGTCCTACGAGGAGAGGCTAAGGGACCTAAACCTGTTCAGCCTCCACAAGAGAAGGCTGAGGGGGGATCTAGTGGCCTGTTACAAACTAGTCAGAGGGGAACAGTAGGCATTGGGGGAGTCCCTGTTCCCCCGAGCACTACCAGGAGCGACTAGAAATAATGGTCACAAGCTGGCAGAGGGTAAATTCAGATTAGACATCAGGAGGCACTACTTCACTGTCAGGGCGGCTAGGATCTGGAAACAACTTCCAAGGAAAGTGGTGCTGGCTCCTACCCTGGGGGTCTTTAAGACAAGGCTTGACAATCACCTTGCTGGAGTCGTTTGACCCCAGTACTCTTTCCTGCCATGACAGGGGGTCAGACTTGATGATCTGCTCAGGTCCCTTCTGACCCTACTAACTATGAAACTATGAACGTATCATTGTCAGAGTTGGCCTAGTAGTACAAGATCATAACATCCGGGGCAGCTCCTTGTTCCTATATTACACTGGTGAAAGAAAGAATGTTAGGACTAATCCTTCCTTAATTTATGAAGAAATGGAGAATTCCTCTTTATGTAAAAGATATGTATGATTGGTCAGGAGTCCAGTATGAAACTGGAGATAGGCCTGTTGAAAGTCTCTTGATTAGCGTCAGAGGGGAGAGCAACAAGGGGTGACATCGTGGTGGGTGTCTGCTGTAGACCAAACCAGGAGGATGAGGTGGATGAGGATTTCTTCAAACAGTTATCCAGCTTAATGTGAGGGCCCGACTCGAGCCAAGTGCTAAATAATCCAGCAGCTGGCCCAACAGTACTCTGCCATAGGGATCCTAATCCAGGAAACTGCCCAACTGATGATAAGAACCTCTACATCCTGGGTTTCACCTTGATTGCTACACTCTACCATCCATACTATGGCATTAATACATTTGCCAAAACCTGTGTCACATCCAGACTAATAGCCACTTCTCTCTGCAGCAACAAACTCTCTTGGATTGCAGCGTTCATCAATGGTAACCACAGTCAATGTGTATAAACCACCTAAAACCCCCTTCACTAACATCCCTATATACCCCCACACAACGATTTACTCTGTAGATTTCTTTGCTCAGCGTTTGGAGTGTGGCTACCAACATGACTTTCCAGATGGCAAAGCACTGGTAGCCTGGGTGTCTTCAGCAGGACTCACCTTGCTCTGTGACTCCAAGCAACTTGGCTCTTTCCACTCAACCAAATGGAAAACCAATACCAGCCCTGTCCTGGCCTTCACAAGTGCAACAACCTTTCCCACTTCTCCTCCCATCAGAATGGCAATCAGCAATTTCCCCCATTTGCAGCACCGACATCTTTAATTAAGAATCCTGGACTTACACAACTCGCATCAAGCTTACCAACCCCATGTTGTAACTCCACTAAAGCTAACTGGGACAAATTCAAAACAGACCCTGCTAAACTCATTACCTTCCTACTTGAACCAACCAACCCTGATGTCAGTAAGGCATACGAAACATTCTGCTCTCTAATCATTCAGACTGCCAAACACAACATTTCTTGAGGCTTTTGAAAATACTACCTCCCTGGGTGGGATGATAAATGCAATATATTAGCCAATTAATATCAATCTGCTACCACTCTTGAAGAAATCCATAATGCTGTCACAGCACTCCTTGACCACCTCAGTAAACAGAGACAAGATAAATAGATCCAAACCACCCAAAACATAAATTTCACCCACTCAAGCAGGAAAGCCTGGTCCACTATCAGCTGCTTAACTGGCAATTCCAGACAATCCCCAAAAGCTCCGGTAAAGACCAGTGATATCACCAGATGTATTAACAATGGAAAAATTTCAAAATCAGACAGATATTTCCCCCGCATGGTGAACGCAAAATTGAAAGAGGCCTGGTACTCTTTCCTCAGTAGACTCAAATCTCTGTATCAACTTTGAATTCAAAGAGATGATGCAGGCCATCAGCACCCTTGAGGCTGGAAAGTCCTCAAGCCCAGACAACTTCCATCCAGAATTCTTCATCTACACCTCAGACTTGCCCCCACAACATCCAAAAAATATATATATGCACAGACGACATAGCCCTAATGATTGCAGGAAAAAACTTCAAGAATCTGAAGCAAGATCTGACAAAGGATCTCACTACCATAAGCACTTACTTTCAGAACTGGAGACTCAAACTAAACATCACAAAGACTGTCAGCACCTTTTACCTTGCCAACAAATTTGCCAAAACAACATTGAATGTCAAGTGTGGAACAAATTCCATCCCTTTCAAAAGCTACCCAAAGTACCTTTGAGTCACCCTGGACCACACCCTAACCCACAAGATGCAACTTATCCAACTGACAGCCAAAGTACATGCTTGCAAGACCTCTCCATCGACTAGCTGGTCTCAGATGGGGAGTTAACCCCACCATACTTCAGACATCCACCCTGGCACTGACATACTCAACAGCTGAATGCTGTGCCCCGGCGTGGTGCAAAAGTGCCCACACTCTCAAAGTGGCGAGGGCACTTAACAGCATGCAACTCATATCTGGATGCATCCACTGTACCCCTACATCATAGCTAACACTAACACTGATCAGTGGTATTGTTCTTCCTGACATCCATGAGCAGCAAAGCTTCCGCCTCCTTCACCATGCTGAACTAGACCATAATGACTACCTACATAGCACATCTGCACAGATCCTCATTGGGCAGCGCCTCTGAACTACAAAACCCCTTATTGCCAACCTGCACTCTGTTTCCAAAGGTTCTTCCCCAGATGACTGGGCTGTACAACTGTGGGAAGAACAATGGGCTTCTGAGAACTGCGGACTCAAAACGTTCATCCCAAACACCTCAACAAGACCTCCTGACTTCGATTTAGACATACTCTCCTGGGTCCACCTCAGTAGACTGTAAACTGGCTACAGCCACTTCTGCCATAACATGCACTAAATAGGCCTGAAATCCAGTGCCATTTCTGAATGTGGCACCCCCCACAGACTGCAAACCACATAGTTACAGAATGCCCTGTCTTCCATTGCCCTGGAAACCTCAGTGCCCTCGACAACCCATCTCAATCCTGGCTCAGCTCTGTCCAATGTGAAATATGACTCTGACATGGCATTTTTGTCATATGAAAAAAAAAACATGAAAAAAAATCTGGAAGATGGGATGGAGTGCATCCTAAGTCTGAGGATGACATTAAGTGTGGGGGTGACTAGTAGATACATTGGAGGGTAGGGCTAGGATTCAGAGATCTAGATAACTTGAAGGATTGGATCAAAAGAAATCTCATGAAATTCAATAAGAAGTGCAAAGCCCTGCATTTTGGACAAAACAATCCCAATGCACTGGTACAGGCTGGGGTCTTACTGACTAACTAGCAGCTCTGCAGAAACGGACCTGGGAGTTAAAGTGGACAGTACACTAAATGTGAGCTAACAGTATACCCTTGTTGCACAGAAGGCAAACGGCGTACTGGGCCACATTAGTGGGAGCATTGTCAGCAGATTTAGAGAAGTGATTAGTCCCCTCTATTCAGCACTGGTGAGGCTACATCTGGAGTACTGTACCCAGGTTTGGACCCTCTGCTACAGCAAAGATGTGGACAAATTGGAGAGAGTCCAGCGGAGAGCAGCGGCAAATGGGTCGGGGGCTGAGGAACATGACTTCTGAGGGAGAGGCTGAGGAAACTGGGCAGCCTTCAGCTACCTGAAGGGTGGTTCCAAAGAGGATGGAGCTAGACTGGTCTCAGCAGTGGCAGGTAACAGAACAAGGAGAAATGGTCTCAAGTTGCAGGAAGGGAAGTTTAGGTTAGATATTATCAAAAATTTACTCACTAGGGGAGTACTGGAACAGGCTACCCAGAGACATTATGGACTTCCCATCCTTGGAGGTTTTTAAGACCTGGCTAGGCAAAGCCTTTGGGATGATGTAGCTTGGGGTGGTCCTGCTTTGAGCAGGGGGTTGGACTAGATGACCTCCTGAGGTCCCTTCCAATCCTTATTTTCTACGATGAGGCCTATATCATCAAAGATATTTAGGTGCTGACATTTAAAATCTGTGGGAATCTTTTTTGAGGGTTTAAGCCAAACTTTTTAGCTGTTGTTTAGACATACTTAAAAATGTAAACATTTTTATACAACATTTTGAAAGCTTCTTTTACTGCTATTTTCCTTAGTTTGTCTGCTAGCTATATGGTTCTCCAAGGCTATCTTTTCAGGCCTGTGAAACCCAAAAGTCTTGTAAGAGCAATCTAGCTTAGGGGTCAACAACATTTTCCAGCAGGGAGCCAAAATGACCTAGCTCAGAGCTGCTGCTACTGCTCCTCCCTGCTACTTAGCTGCAGTCCCTCTGTGCCAGAGCCCATGCCTCTTGACTTTAGGGCTGCATGGGTAGAGCTCACCTCTCTCAGACCTCTAGGCAGCTGACTGAAGTGCAATGCAGGGTAAGTCCCCTGCTGCTTAATGACACCAAAGCCCCAAGGCAGATTCAAAGGGTGTGTTTGGTTCAAATCTGGCCTGCAGGCTTTAGGTTGTCAACCCCAATCTAGATCAGGTATGGCCAGGGAGGTGATGAAGGTACTACTGGGGCTGCAGTTCTGTCATCTGAAGAACAAAATGCCAGCATGCAATGTGTCCTCTGGCTAACCCAAGGGGCATTTGATTAACTTGAAGAGGCAATGTGGTATAATGGACCAAAAACTGAGGGCAAAGCCAACTCGTACATGTTCTGACTTTCTCTGACATTTACCATTACTTTGTGGATTAGGATCTAGCTCATATATAGTTTTGTTATCATAAAAAGAGGAACAGATTGTGGGCAAGAGGGCTAAAAGAAAATTTTAGCAGACCAACCAAAAAATGCTAAAAATACTGAAGTCACATCTGGATGTACTAGTATATTACCTAAAACTGTAAGTGGTAAACATTTCTTCTTGGACACTCTTCTTCTTTCTAATTTTCAAGACACTTGCTTTTTCATTTTGTAAAGTTTGAGGTAATAAAACATACACGTGCATAAAAACCATGTATATAAATATTTACTGTAAGTTCTTAAGCACAGTTTGTAGAGTGATTTGTATTTTGTTGGGCACATGTAATAGATTTGTTACAGATTTTTCTAATGCAGTTATTTTATAAACTAATATTGAAACCTTTATATGTTGTATTCAGTGCTTTAACATGCAGTTTCTCACCTTTGTAAGTTTTTCTGCTAAAAATCACCAAACTGTACAGTGTGATGATTTTAAATAGGGTACAGAAGAGTTAGACCTGGTTAGAAATACCAACACCAGATTCTGAGTACATTAATTATATGACATAAAAGAACATTTTTGTGCTCATTCTATTTGCCATATAATAACCATCAAATTGGTTTGGTTGAGATGAGCACATTTTCTCAAAGGAATTGCAGTTAAAATATACATTTCTCACTGAAGCAAACATTAGTCTCAGTTTTCTGTAGGTAATACTTTTACTTCTGTTCAGTTTTTTTAAAGTTTCTAATGTGTGTACCTTTTGCTATTGGGGTAAATTAATAAGACTGCAAGGATAAGCAAGCAACTTGGGGGCTTGAAAATCACATTTTAACCTGATTTCTAAACCACCTGCCTAGATGCTACAATTTAATTAAATTAGTTTTGTAGCTGTAAGCATTTTGAATGCATTGCAATAATTTATACAATTTGAAGTGAAATGTTAGTTTAATTTCATATGATAATTGTCAGTCTCTGCTGAAGAGCTACCATAAAAGTAATTATAAGGAAAGTTACTATACATTTATGCCATCAAGAATGTTACTTTCAGATAGCATTTGGAACTGCTGTGACATGAAAAATCACATGCTCATTTAAATTCATCAGCAGTGGAAATTATATATTATGTTCTCTTGCATAATATTGTTGTATAAGTAAAGTTAGTTACAATATTCTTGTATGAATCAAAAAAGGGAAAAACTAGTTTTAGCCTCAGATGCCATATCTATTTTTAAACTTTATTCTTAAAAACCTTTTCATTCATTTTTTTTTTTTTTTTTACTACTAAATTTTCTTTATCTCTTACTTTTCCTTTTCTGTCTTTCCTTTTATTCTTTCTTTCCTCTCATGTGCTGCAGGAGAATCAACGCATGCAGCAGAAAGTAGACTGCTTAACCAGAGAGGTGTATGACCTCCAGGAGACAATTAATTGGAAAGATAAAAAAATTGGGGTATGCAATAAATATGGTGGAGAAGGGCGTATGAATTTAGAAATAAACTGGTATATATCAGTGTTCCATAGGACTTTTAATAGTCTATGGATATGAAGGCCACTTATATTTTAGCCATTTTTACTCTTCGTAGTCTGGTTTTTTATGAATAAATAAAAAATCCTCATGGCAAGAAATCAATGAGTTCTGTTCCAAATTAGAAGATTTCATATGTAGAGTGAGTATGACAGATACATTTACAGTTTTATGCTTTAAGAAATTGATTGTGAATACTGCATTTTCTGTATTAAGACTGGACTGTAGGATTCATCTAGCCAGTTGTCATGCCTTTCAGCCAATTCCAGTGCTTTGGGTAAATCCAGAGCTACATATACTTTGCACTATATCTAGTAGGTACCAGGTAGATTTTTCCCCAAGCCTTGCCTAAAATATATTTTAAAATAAGTGTAATTAGGTTTTTAATCTTGTTTTCCCTAACAAGCAGCAAAAAACCCGGTTGATTAATAAGAATAAGTAACTATGGAATGAAAGCTGAAAGCCAAAGGGTTCCTAGAGGTCTGGTAGTATGCCGTGTTTAAATTTTACAGTCATCTTTTCAGAGCACTTAACAAGTACATGTAGAAGTTTGAATTTTTTTCTGCTGAAATAAATTAGCAGAATACTGTATTAAAAGTTGCACTCAGCATAGAAATTCTAAATGATCATTAAAATCCAGTTTATTAAAGCTGAAAACTGAAGCAAATACAATGTTAAGTATTTTTCTTTCATATTTGATATCAGTCTATTACTAAACGTGTGCATGCCACAGTGTTTATTAGATAAGTTATCTTGTCATGTAAACATATATGTTTACATTTGTGCAGTTGTCAGATTGAGGATTACTTGTATATGCCATGATGAATCTGAATGGAGCATTGGAAAGCTGTCTAATCAGTTGAGCGTGGCTGATTTAGCTCTGGATTACAGCTGCAATATAGTTGTGAGAGACTGTTATGTAAATGTTTTGTGTTTGGTTCTGATTCTTTTGGGATTAAAATACTGGTTAGTGTCACTTTTTTTTAAAAGTGTCTGTCAGTAATTGAGTGCCTAAAATATTCATGCGAATAATACACGTAGGTATTTATAAGCAGATACACAGGACAAAGACTCCTGCCTGGTCTGTGGCCCTGTACAGGTTGCATTAGTATTATAGATGTGGTATTCTAACATCTGTACCAGCTGATTTTGAGAAGGGCATGGAGTAGTATGGAGAACATTGGAGTAGTTTGCCCAGCTTAGCAGCATGCAAATTTTAGTAAATAATCATGCATTTGGATTGTGACATAGAAATTTCTCTTGAAGTCATAAACAAGTATTTATTAAATGTATCCAAAATGTTTGTCAAAATACGTTATCAGTAAAGGTGTTCTTATTTTGAGGGTTTTATAAGACAGTTCAGTGAATTAAATACTCCGCAGAAGAATGGTAGAATGAAGAATGTTGTTTATTTTTGGCATAGGTTAATAGGTTAGGGGGCTGGATTATATTAGACTCTTGTAAAAGGTAGTCAGTAGAATTGTACAGGTTTATAATCCCCTTTCTGTTCCTTTCTTTTATTCGACAGTTTGCATTTATTTGTATAAGAATTCTCTCTATTGTCTATCACATGCTTTTTCTCTATCCCATTCTTTTTCTTGCTACCTGCCTGTACCCAGGCTCTAGAAAGACAGAAAGAATACTTTGACTGCATTAAGAATGAGCGAGATGAGCTCAGAGATGAGTTGGCTGACATGAAGGAAACAATGAAGAGAGGAGAGGTATGTTAGTAGCAGTCATACAGTAATATAAGCACAGGAATGTGGGTTGAAACTACAGTTAACAAAAGAGAAAGCATATTAGTACTCCTGTATGTGCCAAAAAACTCAGCCATCAAATAAATAGTGTATTTTAGTATAATTGTTTCAATCTGGCTGAAAACTCTTCTGGAAATACCTTTCTATCCAATTATATTTTAATGTTTCTTTTGTATGGGTATAGTTTTTTTGTTTGTTTGTGTTTTTCAGAAACATGGATTAGTTATAATCCCAGATGGCACTCCAAATGGTGATGTAAACCATGAACCAGTGGTTGGTGCAATAACTGTTGTATCACAAGAAGCAGCTCATGTCTTGGAAACTGCAGGAGAAGGACCACTAGGTAAACGCATGCTTCACACATTTTCTTCTAAAGGTTTTAGTAGATCCTGTTTTGTCCTAAAAACCTCCAAGGATGGAGATTCCACCACCTCTCTGGGTAACCTGTTCCAGTGTTTTACTACCCTCCTAGTGAGAAAATTCTTCCTAATATCTAACCTAAACTTCCCTTGCTGCAACTTGAGACCATTGTTCCTTGTTCTGTCATCTGCCACACTGAGAACTGTCTAGCTCCATCCAGTATAGAAATTGTAAATAATTATTAAAATCCAGTATATTAAAGCTGAAAACAAGCAAATACAATGTTAATTACCCTCTTTTGAACCCCACTTCAGGTAATTAAAGGTGGCTATTAAATCCCCTCTCAGTCTCCTCTTCTCTAGACTAAATAAGCTGAGTTTCCTCAGCTTTTCCTCACAAGTCCTCCAGCCCACTCACCATTTTTGTTACCCTCTTCTGGACTCTCTCCAATTTGTCCACATCCTTTCTGTAGTGGGGTGCCCAAAATTGAACACAGCACTTTAGATGTGGCCTCACCAGTGCTAAGTAGAGGGGAATAATCACTTCCCTTGACCTAGTTTCATAGTGCATGGGGTTGGATGGCACCTAAACAGATCATCAGGTCCAACCCCCTGCTCCAGGCAGGAATGGGTGCCCCAGTCATATCACCCCAGCCAAATATCTGTCCAGCCTTCTCTTGAAGACCCCCAAGGTAGGAGAGAACACCACCTCACTTGGGAGCCCATTCCAGAGCCTGGCAGCCCTAACTGTAAAGCAATGCCTCCTGATGTCCAGCCTGAACCTTTGCTCTAACAATTTTTGACCCTTATTCCTAGTAACCCTGGGTGGTGCCTGGGGAAACAGAACCTCCCCCAATTCTTGCTGGCCCCCTCTAGTGAGTTTGTAAATGGCCACCAGATCCCCTATCAGCCTTCTCTTGTGGAGGCTGAATAGGTTCAGGCCCTTTAGCCTCTCCTTGTAGGGCCTGCCTCGCTGCCCCTTGACCATGCGACTGGCCCTCTTTTGGCCCCTCTCAATGCTAGCCACATCCCTCTTGAAGTGTGGCGCCCAGAACTGGACGCAGTACTCCAACTGTGGCCTGACCAATGCCGCATAGAGGGGAAGGATCATCTCCCTGGACCTGCTTGTGATGCATTTGTGGATACATAACAAGGTACAGTTAGCCTTATTGACTGCTTCCTCGCATTGGCGGCTAATGTTCATCCTGGAGTCAGCAATGACTCCAAGATTCCTTTCTGCCACTGTGTTGACAAGAAGGGTGTTCCCCAGCCTATAGGTGTATAGCTGCTTCTTTCTCCCTAGATGCAGTACCTTGCACTTGCCTGCATTGAATTCCATCCTAGTCTCATCCACTCACCTCTGTAACCTGAATAGATCTAGCTGTATTCTGTCCCTCCTCTCCAGTGTGCCTACC